CCCGCCTCGCCCCACACACTATAGCAAACATGATGTCCTTCTCTAGGGGCTGGTCTCTCCTGACATTATGTCCAAAATATGTAAGATGAAGTCTTGGCATCCTTGCACTAAAGAGTGCTCTGGTCTTACTTCTTCCAAATCTTAAGCACAGATGACGTGACCTGAAAGCATGAGTTTGCCTTCATCTTGTTGTTTATCCGTACAATAATGGATTCATACAGTATTTGTCCTTTTGTGACTTCCAAATCTCGCCATGTCCCTATTTCAATATCTATCTTGAAGTGATGCTGTCTGTGATATGATACTATCTATATGCATACAAAGTAAACCAGTCAACATAACTAACCCTGTCAATATAATTGCACCAACCACTAACATTTGTGATGCAGAAATTGAAGAACTCTACCAACCTCTTCAGACTGAAATTGATCAAACCAAATTGCATTGATAATTATGGGTGATATTGATCAAAAGGATCAAGTAATTATTGCTCAAAATTGATAAAATCGAGATGCACTGATAATTATGATTGGAATGCAAAATTTAGAAGCAAAGAGGAGAGAACAGTAGCTGGAAAATACAACCATCATGATGGAAACAAAGCTGGAGATAAAATGATCAAGTTTTGCAAGACCAAGGATTCCTTTGTTGCAAGTACCTTTTTTCAACAACAGGGAAGACAGAGACGTTCAATATCCGCTAAAACAAAACTAAGGGCCAACTATGAAGAAGACCATCAATTGTAAGTTCAGGTTGAAGATGGAAACAGTTAAAACAGTTTCACAAAATATGACCTTGAATATATCTCACCTGAAATTCAAGAACAGGTTTGATACATTGAACAGTAATGGCGGAAAACCCTATGAGCTGTGAGATGACATCAAAGACATCATAAATGAAGAAAGCAAAACGTCATCAAAAAGACAAGAAACAAAGAAAAGATCCAAGTGAATGTCAGAAGAGACTCAGAAACTTGCTCTTAATTGCTAAGGCAAATGGAAGAAATGATGAAGCAAATGACCTATGCAGAAGATTTCAAAGATCAGCTAGAGAAAATAGTAGTATAATGAAATGTGCAAAATCTTAGAGTTAGAAATCTAAAAAGGTGTAACACACTCAGCATATCTTTAACTAAAAGAACTGAAGAAAAAATTCAAATTTCAGGTTGCAATATTGAAATATTCTATGGGCACAAATGGAGAAAGACGAGGCTTTCTACTCCAGCAAAGAGTTAGTCTTGGAAATCCACAGGGGCAATTCTACCCTGCCCTATAGGTTCACTATTAGTCAGAATTGACTCTGTGGAAACAAGTATATGTATACATATATTTTATGGGTAAAATATTGAATGATACAGGAAGTATCAAAAGTAGATGGAAACTACAAGAATCACTAAACAAAAAAGAACTAGTTGACATTCAGTAATTTCAAGAGGTAGCATATGATACTGAAGTAAGAAGTTAAAAGATATACTGAAAGCATTAGCCAACAAAACAAACAAACAAGAAAGCTAAGGCTCCAGGAATTGATGGAATACCAATTGAAAAGTTTCAACAAGCTGATTAATCACTGAAGTACTCACTAAATTATACCAGGAAAATTTGAAGACAGCTGCTTGGCTAACTGACTAAAAGCGATCCATATTTGTATCCATTTCAAAGAAAGGTTATCTAACAATGCACATATTAGAGAATCGTTGCTATCACATGCAAGTATTAGCCCATATGTCCAATACCAATCTATAAATTCCTCTTCATGGAGAACCCTGCCCGCACTGAGATGCTTACAACACCACAGGATCCACAAGACTTCCCATCCACTGGCCGGTGATCTTCCTGCATTCGGCCTCATTGCATGTGTTTTGTGAGCCTGAAAAGGACATTACTTTAAGGACTAAAATGTGCCTAATTCAGGCCTGACTCAAGTCATGGTATTTTAAATTGCCTCACATGAATGTCAGAGTTGGACATTGTATAAGACTAAAGAATAAGAATAAATGCATTTGAATTATGGTGCTGGTGAAGAATACTGGAAATACTACGGAGGGCCAAAAGGACAAAGAAATCTATGTTGGAAGAAGTACAGCCAGAAATCTCCTTAGAAGTAAGAATAGTGAAACTTTGTATCATGTATTTTGGACATGTTATCAGGAGAGACTAGTTACTGGAGATGGACATGATGCTTGTTAAAGGAGAGAGGAAGTTTAAAAAAGGAAGACCTTTGACAAGATGGATTGACACAGTGGCTGCAACAGTGGGATCAGACATAAGAGCAATGGTGATGAAGGTTCAGGTTCAGGTGGTGGTTCATTCTCCTGTACATAGGGTTGCTATGAGTTGGAAACAACGTAATGGCCCCTAACAACCACATGGGTAAAATATTGAACAATGTAGTAAGCATCTAGAGAAGATAAAAGGAACACAGGGAGTCACTGTACCAAAAAGGACATGTGGACATCCGCTATGGGTAGCATATGACTAAGAACTGATGATATCAAAGAAAGTTCAAACTGTCCTGGAAGTATGAGCAAACAACAATGCTCCAGTAATTTATGGAATGCCACTGAAATGTTTCAACAATCTGATGCAGGGCTAGCAGCACTCACTAGTCTAGTTATAAGACAGCTAGGTGATTAGCCTCCATATTTGTTCCCACTCCAAAGAGAGATGACCCAACAGCACATGGACATTATAAAACAAAGTCATTAGATCACATGCAAATACAATTTTGCTGATGACAATTCAACAACAGTTGCAGCAGTATATCAACGGAGAGCTGCCAAGAATTCAAGTTGGATTAAGACTAGGGTGTGGCATAAGGAATAGCATTACTGATGTCAGATGGATCTTGGCTGAATGGAGAGAATACCAGAAAGACTTTTACTTGTTTTTTTCTTAATGGACAATGCAAAGGGATTCCATATTTGGATCACAACCACCATGGATAATGTTGAGAGGACTGGGGATGCCAGAATACTTACTTGTGCTCCTGCTGAACCTGTGCACTCACCGAGAGGCAGTCAGTCCAGCAGCACGAAGGCATTCTGCATACTTTTAAATCAGGAAAGCTGTGCATTGGGGTTGTATGCTCTCCTCATACTTATTTAATCTTTACGTTGAGCAAATAATCTGAGAAGTTCAACTATATGCAAAGGACTCCACTTCAGAATTGGAAGGGGTTTTTTTTGTTTGGTTTTGTTTTTAAACCAACCTGTGAAACACATTCTTGCTTGGTGACAGTGAGGAGGACTTGAAACACTTTATGAAGATCAAGGACTGCAGCCTTCAGTATGGATTAAAACTCATTGTAAAGAAAACAAAGATCCTCACACCTGGACTAATAGGTAGCCTCGTGATACACAGAAAAGAGCTAAGCTGTCAGGATTTTATCTTGCTTGCATGCACAATTAATGCTCTTGGAATCAGCAATCAAGAAAGCAAACACTGTATGGTATTGTGCAAATCTGCACAAGACCTTTTTAAAGCATTGAAGAGCAAGAATGTCACTTTGAAGAATAACATGGGTCTCCCTCAAGCCATGGTGATTTCAAGTGCCTCATTTATATGTGAAAGTTGGGCAATGAAAAGGAAAAATGCAGAATTGATTCATTTGAATTGCAGTGTTGGCAAAGATTACTGAAAATATTGTGCACTGCCAGAAGAACAAACAAATCTGTCTTTGAAGAAGTACAGCAAGGATGCTCTTTGGAAGCAAGGATGAAAGACTTTGTCTCTCTTACTTTGGTTATGTTATCAGAAGAGTCCAGTCCCTGGAAAAGGACATCATGCTTGGTTAAATGGAGCGTCAGGAAAAAAATAAAAAAGGAAGCCTGTCAGGGATATGGATTGACACAGTGGCTGCAACAATGGGCTCAAAACAGATCAACTGTTGTAAGAATGATACAGGACCAGGAAGTGTTTCACTGTGCATTAGACCATTATAAGTTGGGACCAACTCTATGACACTTAACAACAAGTAAAACCAAAATACTGACTAAATTTCTGCTTTCAGACTAAGATTAGGAAAGAAAGGCCAAGTGATCCATTCCCAAATCCCAGGAGGACTTGCAACATTTCATTTGGTCCTGCATGGGGGTTTCCATGGATCAGGGCTGACTTGATGAAAGTCAATAACATTTCTTCTTTATATTCAAAGCCTAAGTTTAGATAATATTTGTAATGCAGAGGTCTCAGGATATAAGATAAGAAATACAACTGTCACACTAATATGAAAAGAAAGAGATAAATGTATTTGTGAGAGTTGGGTTAATTGTGCCAACTTGGCCAACAGGAACATGTGGGCAAGTTTGGTCCAGTCGCAGCATGATTGGAGGGCAACCAAAATAAAGACAGCCAGCATCCCATCTCTCTTGCTCCCTGGTGATTGGACCAGCATGTTGCTGCTTCAGCTAGTTGTCTGGCCCAACCTGTGTGCTACACTACCTGTGGGTCAAGCCAAACCATGGATCATGTCGCTAGAGCTTGCGGCTCCTTTGAGACTTGCTGCTCCATGCTGCTGGTGTGTATATGGCTTGAGCTTGAGGCAGGTGGATCCTGTCACTATACTTGATTTCCAGATCCCATCAGGGCCCACTTGGCTAAGCTCCCAAGCGACTGACTGT